AAATTAAGTTTTGTTCATGTTTTTTATAAACTATTTCCAACAAAGTTATTGTAAAATACAATTAAAATATCATTTCAACCAATAATTTTTTTATTAATATATCATTTGAACTAACAAGGTCAAATAATTTTTTATTAACGAGACAGTTTTATTGAATGCAAAAAATAAATTTACAATACAGACCATTATTGAATTATAACATAAAGTTGTATATATAAAATTTATATTATCTATGAGGTGATAAGATATACAAATTCAAAACAAAATACTTACTTAAGTATGTATTCAACCATCATAGTATTCAGATTGTAAATTATTATAGAATATTTACATAAACTTCTATTCCAAATTGAAATAATATTAACGCATTGAATAATATATTATATTATCACGTTTTTCTATTCTTGACCATGTCTTACTTTCTTTAGGTTTCTTAATTGTAATTACACAAAAAATATAAATAGTAAGTTGTGTGTATAAATTCATGGGAAATCTGCAAAAAGTTTCACATATCGACTTTATTTACAAAAAAATCATTTTTTTTTTGTAGTTTAACCATTGAAACCGGTAAACATCTGCAAAAGAAAATATATATCCGGTTAGTATCGGTTTTAAGGATTAACTTGTAAAAAAAAAAGGTCGTTAAAGTTTAAAGACTTTTTTTTGAAGATTTTCTTTTTTTATAGACAAAACTGCAAAAATGGTCCATGTGGTATGCATTTTTTGGGGGGTTTAGTCAAAACCACGACTTTTTTGAATTGGTGGTCATTTTGGCCATATTTCTATGTGGAAATGGTCCCTCCGAAAATTGAAATGACTAAATTGCTCTATTGATATATTTTTTATGTGTTTTTCTATTTAATTCAATGTTTTATTATTATAATAAAATAGGTCTCTCTCTCTCTCTCTCTCTCTCTCTCTCTCTCTCTCTCTCTCTCTCTCTCTCTCTCTCTCTCTCTCTCTCGGTTTGTGACCCCATCTGCAAAAAAACAAAGCCTTATGTTCTTCAACTTCTTAAAGCTCACCGCCATCTCCATTGTCACCGGAGACACCCTTCACCATTTATCTATAATCACTCCTTCAATCTCCACCACCTATCACCAGGCCCGGTTTTAAGGGGGGGGGGGGGGGGGGCGAGAGGTGCGGCCGCACAGGGCCCCGAAAAAAATAGGGCCCAAGTTTTAATTAAATTATATATTTAATAAGTAATTATATATGAATTTATTCAAGGTTTTGCACAGAGTCAAGGTAGCCCAAATGGTATAAGCGCGTCTTCTATTTAGCATCCTCTATTTAAGGTAGGTGGTTCGAATCTTGTGCCCAACATTTTCATATTTTAAATTCAAGTTACAATTTAACCCTTCCTTTCAATATATTTAACAAATCAGTTTTCAGAAGTTACATAATTAACCCTTAAACTTTTTATAAAATTCCACATGTTCCTTTTTAATTAATTTATTTACTTTTAAGTTTTCCGTAACGACAATTCACCGTCTTAAGTTTGTTTTCCTTATACATTAAAAAATTGTATTTAGGGCCCCATTTTTCTTCTTAGCACAGGGCACTTAAAATCTCGGAGCCGACCCTGCCTATCACCACCGCTACCACCACCATTATACCCCAAAACTTCACTATACTCGATGTTCCATGTAATTCATCAATCGAACTGTAATCACACACCCGTTTCCTCCTCCAACCCCATGCGTTCTTTCTCCAGGATGGTGGTCAATCATTTTGCTGAAATTAAACCAGAAAAGTGCCTAAAAATCTCCAAATTAATGGTGATGGAGGAAAGAATGAACTCCGATGAGCTTCAAGATGTAATCAAAATTGAAATATGATGAATTGCAATCGATTCGTATGTGTGTGTGTTTTTTTTACTGAACATTAATGAGAAAATACACACATTCCCACTCAAACTCGTTGCATCTATCGATCGAGAGTCTCACGGAGTTGACTTAAAGCATTCATAAGAACAACTAATATGGATAAGAACTACCTGGAACTAAGGAGTTCCACCGAGAAACCCTAATTACAGTAAAATACCCTAAATATGAAATGAGAGAGAAGAGACAGAGCATTTGTGTGTTTTGGGGGAAAAGACAGAGATGGAGAGGTTTCATCAGATTCTTTACAGATTTGATTTCATCACTGAAGAATGGCAGAATTTTTGTTGACATTGAGAATCGAAGTAGGTTTTAGGGGAGAAGACACCATTAAAGCATTATCTGTTAATGGGGGAAGAAATCATCTCACCACCATTATCAGCCTCGCTCCACCATCTCACTAACCGAGAACCTTGGCCTCGGGTTGGACGAGTAATCAAGGGTTTCAGATGCTTCATTGGTTCTCAAATCTGAAGATGTAAAAACATGATGAAAAAGGAAAGGAGAGGATGGGGTTGTGGGAGTCGATTGATACCGGAGAAGGTGGGTTAGTGTACTGAATTGTTGGGGGAGGGTGAGACGAAGGTGATGATTCAGAGAGAGAGAGAGAGAGAGAGAGAGAGAGAGGTATGTGGGCCCTTTTTTATTATATATATATATATATATATATATTATATATATATATATATATATATATATATATATACTTATAGGAAAAAAAAATGAAAAATAAATATAATAATGTTAATTTAGTCTTTTCAGTTAACCGAAAAACCATCATCTTCGTCATCTCAAGACCTCCTGTATTCAGAAGATCATCATCACTCAGATCTCCAAGCCCCAAAATAAATCGTATGTAGAAAATCATAAGAGAGTAATATCATAAAACAATAAGTTATATGTAAATTAAAAATAAAAAATAAAAATAAAAAACAAACAAACAAATTCACACATGAAAAAATTGGAAGTCATTCTCATTCCATTCTAAGTTTATGCAAAAAGTAAGGTATATGAATTGATTATCCCTATGTATCTTTCTGGTTTCACGAACAGAAAAATAAAAGAAGACCACAACTTCATAACTAAATGATCATGATCTAAGGCAAAAACAAGAATGAACATTTACCAATAAACAGAAGAATGAGTTTTTGATCTTTCTGGTATTACTTCGAACTGTTAAATAGCATATTTTAAAAACAACTCATCAAAGGGACATATACATCCGTGATGTGTGGTCAAATGAATATTAAATCAATAATCTGGGAAGTTTGGTGAAGAAAACATACCCTTTGCACCAATATTTTCAAAAAAATTGTTAGTGGGAATACTGAAAAAAAAATTCAAATTCTTTCGTGAAAAAACCGTTTCTTTCTTTGCTCCCACTCTAAACTTTTTAATACTTTTATCAATCGTTTTGACAAGTCAATTTAATCCGCTCCGAACTATATTGACTCCTATTTAAAAATCACTAGTTTGACTAATTGCATGATGTTCTTCGTTTAGCTACACGTAACATTTATAAAAGATGAATATTAGTAATATATTGGGGAAATGACACAAATACCCTACGAAGTTTTTAAGGTTAGTCTATTCAGTCTCTAAAGTATTGTTGGTGCTTTACGACCTGCTCTTTTAGTCTCTTTTAACTTCTAGTAACCGTATACTATACGATAGATACCATTTAGACCAAACGAAACTCACATTATACCCCCATAAAACCAAAAAAAAAAAGTTGGGGGATCATTTAAACAAAAACTCAAAGAAATTTTAAAAACCAAAACTTTGCATCGTTTCATGGTGGAGTTGTTAGGAGGAAGTTGCATTTGAAGTGGGGAATTTGAAGAGATTGTTGATGGCGAATTGGATTCAGAGGAAGGAATGTAATCAGAATGAGGAACTACCTGCGTCGACGATGTTGGCATTGGCAACTGGAGTGAGACATCGACGATATCGATTTTCCAATTGATTCAACCCTAGATGGTGCTTTTGTGATGAATATTAGGCATGACTGAATTTCTGCCATGCAGAAATTCGTCATTAGCATGTAAGTAGTGTCTAGTTTTGAGCTTCACTTGTTTCCCGTGCCCCCATCGAATCCCACTCCACGGACAAGTCGAGGCGATTGGGAACAGTTTGGAGGACTTTTTCCGATCATTCCAAGCTGTTTTTGGGAACAGATTCGTGGTCGGTGGTGGCGTGTAGTTATGCAGACGATTAAGGAAAAAGTGGTTTTTATGAATTATTTGAGTTTTGGTTAAATGATCCCCCAACTTATTTTTTTTATATTTATGGGGACAGAATATGAGTTTCGTTTGGTCTAAATGGTCATTGACACATGATTTACAGGTCATTAGAGGTTTAAAGGACTAAAAAGCAGGTTGTAAGCTACCTTATTTCCTCATAAAGCACCAAAATACTTTAGAGACCGAATGAACCAACCATAAAAACTTCATAGGACATTTGTATCATTTCTTAGACTTTTAATCTATAACATACTTTTAAAAGAAAACTAGTATTAGTATTTGGTTACTCATGTACTATTTGATAGCTTTTTAAATCTACTATAATAAATTTATTTTGTCAAATGCAATCTCTTATGAGTATTGACACTTTCATTTTGACATATTTTTGTTAAATACAATCTCTTATAAGTTTTGACACTTTATTTTGACATAAATAATAGCCAATAAACTTCTTCATTCTTTATTTCAAAAGTTTATTTAAAAAAAATACTTATTGTTTATATTTTGATATTTAATATTTTTTTAATCAACCAACACCTAGTTTTCAAATAAAAACAAACTTCTATTTTTTTAAATTCAAAACATTTAATAGATTTATAATTGTTAACTATTAAGTAGTCTCTTAATTTTTAAGTGAACAAGTTATATCTAAACAAAAAAATAAAAATATTCTAAAAATACGTTAATTTTTCAGCAAAACTTTTCTGTTTTTCTCTCTGTATTACACTACCGCTTCCCTCCCACTACAACTTCTTAAAAATTCAGATCAAGATCCTACCTGACAGACGCTTGATTAATTTTATTTTTTACTGTAACAGAAAGTGTATACTTCAAACTTCAAAGGTATCAAAAACTACAAACACAATACTATGAAAATCATATATTCTCTATAGGAAAAGATATGACGTGGCCATGGTCTACAATACAAAATTTCAACAAAACATGCACAACCGCTATCTCGATTTAAGTTTTACATGGACCATAAGTTTAAAAGCTCAATAATCCCGAAATTGCCCCTCACTTAGCTCCTCCAAATTTGTTCATCATTTTGGTGATCACAGGAGCCACCTTAGGATTCGCCTGGTGCTTGGCAAGATTACCCGGATTTTTCATCACTGCAAACGCCATAATAATCAACAAATAAAATAATATGTAATATAATTATAAAATAATAGTAATGTATAAATAAATAAAAAATATTACCATCTTGTAAAGCTTCCATTACTTCAGGATCTTGGAATGCTGCCATTAGTTCAGGATCCTGCCATGGTTTTAAAAATTAATACCTACAAATTTGTTGCTAATTAAATCTCTAAATTCATTCAAACTTACATTCAAAATCTTGGTATAGTCCATTCCACCAGGCATGCCGCCTCCAGGGGACGCACCTCTAGGCATGCCGCCACCCGGGAACCCTCCAGGCATGCCACCACCAGGAAAACCTCCCGGCATGCTGCCACCTGGAAAGCCTCCAGGCATGCCGCCACCTGGAAAGCCGCCACCGGGAAAGCCACCAGGCATGCCACCTGCACCTGGTCTTTCACTTGAAGATGCTTGTTCTTGCTTTTTGGCCTTTTCATATGCAGCCTATAGATATCAAAAAGAGATTAAAAAGTTACAAAGTCAAAAGAGTAAATTATAAAAACGGTCCTTGGCTGTTTTTATTTGAATTTTGTTCCTAATTTGAGGCTTGTGTAACGTTTTGTAAAAAGACTATATTACCATTTTCTGATTTTTTTTATTTGTTATTTAATTTAATGCTTTACAATTATTATATTAAGATAGCACAAAAACCTAAAATAAGGACCACAATTGCAATGGAAAACTAGAATTGCAAAAAAACATCGACTGCTTTTATAATTTGTCATATTACAATAATTATATGTTATCGAATTTAATGTTTCGTTATTACATTTAGGTGGAAAAACAGTTGCCAAAACCACAAATAAGGACCAAAATAGCAAGCAAACTTTTTAGAACTTAAAATGCACAAAGCAGTGATATTCAGGGACTACTTTTGTAATTTATCATATTATAAAAATTAGAAAAAAAAGTTAGAAAAACCATGAATAAGGACCTAAATTGTAAAAAAAAGTAATACATAGGGACCTTTTTTTAATTTACTCAAAAAAGGAATAACAGATATATATGAGTTGACCTTGGCTTCAGCTCGTCGACGTTGCCTCTCACGTTCTGATTTTCTGTCCTCTCTCTCTTTCCTCAATTTATCATATTTCCTTCGGTGTTCCTCTATTTTATGTGCATTAGGTTCAACCTTAATTCACCAAGTAATTGTATTAAAATAAAACGCATAAGATCAAACACGATTATACATATTAATTAATGTTTTTCAAGATTTACCTTTTTGAGAACAGAACTTATTTCCTCATCATAATCAAGCTTTGATGCAACATGAAGATCCTTTGCAGCCTCTTCCCATTCACCAAGCATTGACCGTGCTATCCCACGTGATTTATAGCCTTTAGCAGAATCCGGATTAATCTGCAAAATCAACAAAGAAAAAGTTAAATTAATAACCAGAATTAAACATTATCATCATATAGTATTTAGTATTGTACAAAGATTATAAAAAAAAAATGGGATACCTGTAGTGCAGCATCAGCATCCCGAATGGCAGCATTTGGTTTCTTCATTTTGATATATACAGTGGCTGTATGAAGAAAAAGAAACCAAGACATTTCAGGTTAAGGCATCTAGAATATAATTTATATAAAACATAAACAAGAATAAAATCTCATAATTCTGTTTTTACTTTTACCTCTAGTTGCATACATGATAGCTGAAGTAGGATTGAGCAGAATTGCCTCAGTGAGATACTCGATTGCTTCCTCTAGGTTACCTATTTATGCAATTTCAAGTAAACTATAAGTTTGATCTTTAATTTGATGATAAAGAAGACGAGATAGGAACAGACCATTGGCAATGGCTTCCATGCCTTTAGCTTTTGCTTCTTGGGAAGCATCACGATTTTCATCAGAGACCTCAACAGAAGAATCTCCCATCTGAGATGTCATATGTTCGATGTTAAACAAAATACGTCACCAAAAGCCCAAAAAGGGGATTAAAATGAAAGTGAGACCTTCTGTGGAGGATCATTATCAGGCTCCACGGTTTCTCCTTCAAGCTCAATGTCAGATTCTATTATCTCGTCTTCTTCTTCTTCTTCTTCTTCTTGTGGTGGTTCTACTTCTTCATCGCTCTCTTCAACCACATAAGGCTTCTGTGATGTCAATTGTCAAGTAAGAGTGTTCAAATATGACCGATTTTACATCAACAACAACACTTAGCAATCGACAAACATATAGCGAAAGCACCTGTAGTAAATTTTGTTTGATTTTACAAAGAAAGGAATCATCTCAAAAGTGAAACAAAAAATCGACTTTTTCTATGAAGATCCCCAAAACGTTCAAAACGTTTCAACAAGAAGAATCACGCGGTAAGAAAACACTAAAACACAAGATCAAAGTAAGAGAAGTACCGATTCATTCTCCTTATGCTTTGAAGACGACGGAACCTTACCACCGAGACTGAAATAAAGAAATCCAAACAGATACGTAGTTAATCAAGCAAATCCAGGAGAATGAATCAACAAATCGACAGTTATGAAAAACCGAAAGAAACTAAACAGATATTTGCCTTTCGATATAATTACGGAAGAAGGAGAGCGAAGGGTCGTTGAGAATAGACGGATCGGAGTCGCACTTATTAACAAACTGCTTTAATTGCTCTAGCTTAGCGGCATCCATTTCCGATCAGTGATTTTGATTTTTGGGGGCGGGTTTGCCGAAGGTTTACCTTCCGACACTTGAAGGTTTTAGCTGCTTCTAGTAGCTTCTAAACCAACGGATAAGATGAGACTCGGGTCAAGATAGAGACTTTTGATACTGTCGTTTCAAGTCCCTCATCCAATCTAGTTGCTAAAAGTATCAATCAACTAATTCCGAGAACCCTAACAAAATCCAGACTCAATTGTGCCTTAATTAGCGATGCTTGTCTACTCAACTTATGTCGTTTGATAGTTGTTAACTGAGTTATAGTTGCTAACTGAGTTAGAGCTGACTGATTTAGAAGTTCTGACTAGGTTAACTTTTGACTGAAACTTATTGTTTGATTTTACATCTGACTGACCGTACAAAATGACTATATTACCCTCAAACAACATTTTTTTTATGATGATTCATTTATGATTCACCATTTAATTTATAAATGTTAATGCTATATACAACATCACCAACTTCCATTTTACAATATTTTCTCCCATTTTGCATAACCCATTAATTAGTGTTCCACATTTTACATAAAAAACAATAAACATCGAATAATTATAATTACAAACGAAGACATAATGCTATTGTTTTTTTTTTTTTTGTCAAATGTGCAACACTTAAAATTACCTTGATGTTTTGTTTTATTTAAGATTTAATAATCAAGTAAAGCATTATATAGGTACCTATTTCTTGGCTATACTACTATCACCATGCCTCCTTTCTTCCAAACACGTCTAATTTTAAAATCATTGAAAAGTTGAGAACCACATATTTTCTTTGAGATGTCATTTCCACAGTATTTTTTCTTTACCTCCTTTTTTTTGTTTTGCATCGAGAGAGAAAAGTTAAGAGTATAGATAGATAATATCTCATCTTTATTAGCTTTCTTTCCACCAATTTCTATTCAATTGTCTATTATTGTTCAACTGTCAAGTGGATGATTACTGCAACCTGTTTTATGTCGTTCAAGAAAAAAACAACCTGCTTCACCATTTGTTGCAAATTGTTGTTTCTCTTCTTTATCATCCCATGAAAATAAATTTCTCTGTTTTTTGTTTTCTGTAACTTTTTAAACCAAAAGCATTAAAAGGTCCATGTGACAATCGATTTCGTTCAATTTCAATGACAATCGATTTCAAAGAAGGGCCATACCTGCAACTAGAATGGTGAATCATAAAAAATCGATTTCGACACAGCTTAAAAAATCGATTTCAACACAGTTTAAAAATTCGATTTTGCAGAGATGAGAATTGCAAACCTGTAAATTAGGTCAAACGGTAATAAACCACTGTTGAAAGAGGAGCGATGTGGAAGGCCAGAAGGAGCGGGGTGTGAGGTTGAAGGAAGAAAGCGTTCGCAAGTGAGAAGGGCAATAGAGGGAAAGAAGGGTTTTGTCTGGGTCAGCCATTATTTTTTCTTGGACTCGGTAAGCCATCGATCAGCCATCCATTGACCGAGTAAGAGCAAATATTTTCTTATCAAACGAGCTAACTCAGACCGGGTCAGATAAAAGCTCTGACCGGACCCAGTCAGAGTGAAATCAAACAGCCCCTTACTTGGATTCTTTGCTTGCCTTTTCATTATGGGCCCTCCAAATCTTCATAGACAACCATACAAAATGGCTAACAAAATCTTCCGTTTCTTTGGACAATTTCCCCAGTCCGCGGCATAGGTAACGAGCCCACTAACCGAAGAGAATTACTGAAATTGAATGTCGCACCAGGCAAGGATCCACTGCAGAACACTAGATGCAAAAGGGCAGCAAACAGTGCATCGTTTTGTCCCAAATATATATATATATATATATATATATATATATATATATATATATATATATATATATATATATATATATATATATAAAACATTCGAAATTTTCACTATAGATAGACCTATTGGTGATACCCAAATAGTGCATCCTTTTGTCTCCAAATATATATAAAAGAAATGTTCTAATAAACGTGTTTGAGGATTTATTTTACGAATCGAAAATACAAGTAAGTCGTTTACTTAAAAATGTTATAAAAAGTGATCACGATTCTTCTCATGAACACAAAAACATGTTCATCACGACTCTCAAACCCGAGTTTGACATGGCTTCTTTGGGGTTTCTCACTTTTTTTGGGCATTTTGGTCACCCATAAGGCCATGTATATGTTCTGGAGCCAACATAAATATGTTGAGGAAATTCTTAAACGAGCCAACACGGAGAATTGTAAACTGGTTGCAACCCCTATATATTCAAACTCCAAACTTAGTGACACATTTAGTGATCTGATGTTCCATCCTTCTTAATTTCAAAGTCTTTTGGGTGCCTTTCAATATCTTACATTTTCGAGGCTCAACATTTCTTATACACACCCCGTGAACCAAACTACAATGCATTTAAAACATAGTATAAGGACATTAAATGCAACCTAGTTATTGGTCTCTTTATCTGGTAATGGAGTCCAACATCAACGCACAACACATATAGGGGATGAATATACATTATGTATGGGAAAAGGCTACGTTTGGGCAAATTCGAGTACTACACATACTCTCTACATACCAATACTTAGATATTTCCATGAAGGCTCAACCTCATCAGTTATTTCTCGACTTCAGAGATACATATTGAATATCGGTTTTCCTTCCGCTCAAACTATAAGGACTTATCCAAAAACTGATTTGCTCTTTGAAGATTTGATGGCTTGCTATTTTAGAATGAATAACTATACTAAATAATTAGATGCGTCAAAAGCACGTGATGCAATTTTTTTAATAATTAAATTGTAATCAATAATTAATTAGTAATCACAATACAATGAGTGAATAGATAAATGTGCAACAAGTTGTGTTGGTTGTGTAAGTAAAAAATAGGGATAATGACTTAGGAGGGTAATAACGTTTTCCGTTTGTCCATATTAGGTCCCTAACGTATTTTTTGTGTGTATTACACCATTAACGTTGTTATAACCGTTTAGAAATAATCCCTTTTACCAGTTTCTTCCTCTTAAAAGGACTATTTGTAAACGGTTAGAATAACCTTAATGGTGTAATACGCACAAAAAATACGTAGGGACCTAAAATGGACAAACAGGAAACGTTATTACCCTCATAAGATTTTTAGTATTTATTATTTTGAATATATATTTTTAAGATTTTTAGTATTTATTTTTATATGTGTATTTCATATAAAGTTGTTGAAATTAAAAAGAATAAAAAGTAGAAAGGTTTGGATTGGATTGGATTGGATTGGATTGGATTTTGTAACCACATCATCATGAACACCATGAACACCGACTCAACACTCGGGCGTTCCATATGAACCGTTGGTCTAGAATCCACCCAATCCACCACATCATGGATAGATGAAAACACAGGAAGGTCCAAATGAAGCCAATGCCCAACCCGACTCCAAACCTGATCAGCAACCGAAAACTGCAGCAACAAATGCTTCACCATAAAAAATGTTAATTTTAATAGGGACAAAACGGTTCCACCTAGTAGGCATACTACCCATAGGAAGCGTCATATCATTAACCCAATTCCGTGCTGATTTAATAGTAAAGATACCCGACAATTCAAGCTCCCAAGACCACTTATCCGGCATTTCCCCTATGCGAATAGGATTTAATATCTCCACAAGATAATCAAATTGGGTCGATTCAGCCCCTCCTCTAATCCCCCGACGCCAATGAAAATTCCATCCCCCCGAATCTCATTATTCACTTACTCGAGCATCTTGATTAAAGGCCAAAGCAAAGAGCATCCCGAACCGCTCCCTAAGAGGCCGATGTTAAAAGCATCCAAACTACCAACCCCAAGACCTACAAGTTTCCTATTTAAAAAGTAAAAAATTACTATAGGGGTTTATAGTTTCATACGGGGATAATGACTTAGGAGGGTAATAACGTTTCTCGTTTGTCCATATTAGGTCCCTAACGTATTTTTTGTGTGTATTACACCATTAAGGTTGTTATAACCGTTTAGAATTAATCCATTTTACCGGTTTTTCCTGTTAAAAGGACTATTTGTAAACGGTTATAATAACCTTAATGGTGTAATACACACAAAAAATACGTTAGAGACCTAACATGAACAAACAGAAAACGTTATTACCCTACTAAGTCATTATCCCTAAAAAATATTAGTACGTATGTAAGTAAAAAAAAGTTTCTTTTCAACAAAATGAAGAAAAAGATACACCTCAAATGTGCAAATTGTTAGGTAGATGTAACATACTCATATTCGTGGAAATTAATAAATTTCATGAGCATAATTTATAATTTGTGTTCATTTGTGGTAGATGGTAAAATAATAGCTCTTGAATAATTTACAAGGCGACATATATGTGTTGTTTGTTTTTTCTGAGGCAAAATGTCTACAGTCTGCGGACCACGTCTATAGACCTCTGCAGTAAAAGAGGTGGACCAAACGTCTGCAGTTTGAAAAAAGAAGACTGTTTGTTTTTTTAACATCTGCAGGCTACTAAAATAAACTAAATTTAAATAAACTTATTTTTTTAAACTTCAAAGTGATTTTTTAATATTTTTATGACTATATTATAAATAATTAACAAATCTAGATAAACTTTAATGTATTATTATATAAAAAGAGAAAATAAAAACGATACAAATTAACATATATATTTGATAAAAACCAACAGTTTTGATCGCAAAGTTATACCTAAAAATTGTAATTAGGAATCAAAGAATTTGATACATAAATGGATGGATATAAACTTCGATTTTTTCAATTAAATCAATTAAAAACGTACCATAAATGTTTTCACAAGAAATTGACGATATCGCAAAGTTATACCTAAAAATTGTGTCGCCGAACCTTTTCTTTTTAAGTATTATAACTTTTTTTTTTCAAATTGTTTATCATTAATAAAGTTGGAATAAATATAAATTATAAAAAAACTAAAAATAAACAAATATATATGTGTTTTTTGAGGCTAGAAGATGTATGAAGATGTTAGAAGACTCCGATCCACATCTGCGCCAAAAAGAGGGCGTGCAGACATTTTTAGGTCTGCAGTCTTCAAAATAATAAACAGTCTACGAAGGCTAATGTCTGCGTGTGGTC